AGTCAGTGTTTAATATGGTGTTGAAATATAAGTCAGTGTTTATTATGGTGTTGAAATATAAGTCAGTGTTTAATATGGTGTTGAAATATAAGTCAGTGTTCAATATGATGTTGGCATACATATCAGTGTTTAATATGGTGTTGAAATATAACAGTCAATGTACAATTCGAACATAATAGAGATGACATTTTATGTATATGTGTTTTCTAGAGATACTATGGTAAATCTTTGCCGTTTGGAGACTCATCCTTTATATTGGGTAACATTGGATTCTTATCTATTGAACAAGCCATGGCTGACTATGCTGTGCTGATACATTATCTAAAAATTAAATTAAATGCAGCAAAGTGTCCGGTTATTGCATTTGGAGGCAGGTATATAATAGTTTAGTAAAAATATTATAGTTTCATATGTTTGTAGAACTGTGTATGTTTTACCCACGAACTGAAGATATCTGAAATGTCGTCTGTGACACCTAAAGTGTCCCTGGGGTGGAGCTGTCTATACAGAATGTTCTATGTTGCTAAGACGCGCACCACTGTACCATGTATTTCCATTGGCTCTGCGCGAGCTGCTGTAGAACGCCAGTCAAAGAGCTGGCGATGCAAAAGTTAAGGAAATGGCACAAACTCAACTTTGAAGTAATCCTGAGCAACAGAATTTATATATGTTGCACACGTAGGGGGTAATCTTGTAGAGTCACAACAACTGTCCCAAAGTTCAGTTTTCTGTGAGTTTTCAGACTTTGTTTTTACTGTTATGGTAGCCAGGCGGTGAAAATGTCCATATGTTTCCCCCAAGGATAACCTTTTATAACATAGCCAACTTGAATACTTACTCATTTATTTATTTATTCATTCATTCATTCATTCATTCATTCATTCATTCATTCATTCATTTCATTTATTTATTTATTTATTTATTTATTTATTTATTTATTTATTTATTTATTCATTTATTCATTCATTCATTCATTCATTCATTCATTCATTCATTCATTTATTTATTTATTTATTTATTTATTTATTTAAAGTGTTTTAGAAATGTGAGGGACAATCAGTTATACTAATTATAAACAGTGATCTTAGAAAAAGATGTCGTTTTAAAGTCTCTGAATATATACTGCATACAA